TTAGTTTAGTTTGTTTATGACGGGATTGTGTTTAATTTGTAGATGTAGTGAAGATAAAGTATAGTGAAGATGCAGTGAATATTGTAATCATACCTTGTTTTTAAGGAGCACACCTTATATTTTATTTCAATAAAAATCTTTAATGCTAATTATTTATTAACTTTTTTGTATGTGTCTAATAAAATGACGATGATAAAATGATGATTTTTTTGATTCAGTGAATGGTGTTTTTTTTTATATAACTTCGAAACAAATAGCAATGTACATAAATTTTTTTTATTCTTTGAACTAAGTCTACTTCATGCTCTCAACTTTTGATAACGATATATTCTGAATAATTACTTTCATTTTCAAATTATTATCCAAAGAGATACTTTTCAAATAAACCCTTTTGACAAAAAAACTTTAAAAAAGTTTAAAATATGGGCTTGAGAAGGTACTTATAGAGTTAAACGCTTAAAAATAAGTCCCTAATATTTCCTATAAATATCCATATTATCAATTATTTCGAAAAAAAATTAACAAATATATATTTTTATTTAGTTTTTGGTTTCAATTACTGGATATACCTACTCGAAATTATTACAATTAAAATTTGTTATAGAGTTGAGGAATTTCCAAATCAAATTTTATTTGTAAAGAGTTTTGAGGTTAAATTAATGAGCGAATTGGAAATATTTCGAAATAAACGTACAATTTGATTTAGGGTCGAATGATATCTCAATCAAATTTTGAGGTTAATAAATTTAGACAAGTTTAAATTATTTGCAAAATTAAAATAATTTCATAATTATTGAATATATAATTTAACTTAAACTAGAAGAATTTATAGATTAAAAATTTTACATGTAAGAAATTTTGAGGTTAATTACTTTAGATGAGTTTAAATTATTAGGAATTATTTTGAAATTATAACAAATTAATTGTAATTTAGAGTAAGATGAATTTTAAGTCCAATTGTATCTACAAGAAGTGTTTTGAGGTTAATTATTTTAGAGATATAAAATTATTGAATAGATTGGAATAATTATAAATTTGGCTTAGAGTTAAGGAATTTCTAAATTACATTCTATCTGTAAGAAGTTTTGAGGTTAATTACCGGCTAAACTGGAATAGTTTCTAAATTATTACATGTAAAATTTAACTTAGAGTATAAGGATTTATTATTTAAATAAAATTTTATGAATAAGAAGTTTTGAGGTTAATTAGTTTAGGATTCTTGAAATTATTACGTTAATTACAATTATTTCGAAATTATTACAGATAAAATTTAGCATAAATATGGTAGTTAGGAAATATTGTACACTTTAGTAGGTAACTTTTTCAAATTAGTTATATGATTATAAAAAAATGACGTCTATGTTTTAAAACTTTCGGTACTTTACGAAATAAAGGCATTTTTAACAAATTAATAATATATAAGAACATTTTCTTTTAGTATTTCACAGCATTACATTTTTTAACGGTTAAATCGTGCATACCATCAAAAATACTAACACAAAGTAAAGACAAACGAACATATTGACACACAGAAGCGAGCTAAAAAACAACAAACTTTACCCATTTTTGGCAAAAATCCTCCGGTCGAAGAATACACTTTTTACCCCCGATGTTTATTTATCCCCAATCAAGTAAAACAATCGGAAGAGTGGTCCGCCATGTACTTTTCGAAATACACATGATTTTCGGGTCCTCTAGCGGCATTTTCCGGCTCTAAAATACCCCGCCATTTCCCTGACCGGGGCGTGACCCAGTCCAGACCCGCCCTGGCGTCTCGACGCACTTTTCCGACGCTTTCTTCGAACCGGTTCGGGGATGAGACTCGAATACGAGTATCGGCGAGGTTCTTGAGGGGTTGAGTTTTCTTAAAATGGTGGGAGGACTGGGATTGCAGTCGGCGGGGGGTTTGGTTTTCTTTGTTGGAAGAAGATTTGAGTGTGTGTGGAGAAACGGAAAATGGGGATTGAGAATTTTCCGTTTTTTCTTGAATTATGATCAAAAACGTGGAAGCATAAGATGGGGATTTTTATTTTTTTTTGTACCCTTTTTGTACTTTTTTATTATTTACTTATTTGAAATTTTTAAGATTTAAAAATAAAAATACAGTAAATAAGAAGTAGGCAACTTAATTGCCTCAAATTTTTAATACGAGGGGAGACTGGGGTTGGTTGCCATAAGTTTACCAAAGCAGTGGGGTATCCAGGAGTTTGTTGTGGGGGAAATGTAGTTTGAGAGTTGTTCTGTATAATAATATATAATACAGACTTAAAAATTACATTTTAAGCAACATTCATAGCATTACTATTTTTTATGAATTAAACAATTTTTGGGGGATATTTTCCCGACTTCCTCCATCTCGACATTCTCCTTGCTTGAATCCGCCCCTGTGCCAAATCAGTCTGTGTCAAATCAATTTTTTTTATTGGTATTGGTGCATTTGAAATCAACATAATATGAAAAAAAGATAGCAAGGATATACTATAATATTCTAGTTTGTGAAACAAGAGTGGGTATGATGGACATATCGCACTAAGACGAAGTTTGTGCAGGACGCCGTAGGCAAAATGCTCAATCGTCTGAGAGCGATATGGACAGTGCACTCGAGTTGTACAATTAATTTTTTCTACGAACCATATACGAAAATCTACAAATTTAAAAATTATTTTAGGTTATTAAGACAAAACAACCAATTTTAAAATAATTTATGACTTTTATTAAAAAAATAATTTAATTGGTATCTTATTCTTAATTTGAACCCGACTGAATACGCTGCTCTTAACTCCATTAACAAATCTAACATTTTGTTTTTAATACTCCTAAATAAATTGATTTCATATAGTTTTATTAAAAATTACGATTTATTTGTAAATATAGATAAAATAAAAACAGAAATGCTATTATTTATCGATTCTTCGCAAGAATAACTGATTTTCTTCGACTTCGTATTTGCAATTTTCCTAAAAGTATTCTAAACAACTTTTTAAATAACATTTTCGTGTAATATGAAAAGTAAGGCAACATTCCCATACAGCACAAAACCATTTCGGAAATATTTCAAAAATGTGTCATTGAAATATTTGTAATGTATAAATATTATAAAACGTCCCAGAAACATTTTTGAAATGCACCTGAAACGTAAAAATGTCCTGTAAAAATATTTCACAGTAATATTTCTGAAATAAAAATTTGAAATATTTTAGAAATATTACATGTATTCTAGTTTTTTTTCATAAATATTATGAAACGTTGTAGAAACTTTTCTAAAAACTTATTAGACTAAAAAAGACATTTAAAAATACACGTTTATTTCAAATTCACTAATCTGAAACAAATTACAGGTACTTAGAAAATCATTTCAATCAGGGGAGGTACTTTATGAGAGGCCGTTTTTATATTTTATGGAATATGTCTGTTATTAATGTTTGGAGAAGAAAATTGTTCAAATAAAAGTTACTTCTAATATTATTATCTATAATTTTTGCTTTATGTCAAAATTTCCTGAAATGGTCCTTATTCGATAAATTGGACAAAATGTGCAAAATTCTGATTTTTGTGAAAATTGTTGAACTAAAAGTTGTTTGCGATATCGATCTCTATAATTTTTGTTTATACATGATTTTTCTAAAATGGACCGTAATGAAAAAATTGTAGAAAATTTAAATTTTTCAGTATTTTCTTTTTTAATGAATATCTATAGAAAAATGTTTCGAGGTAGATGTATGTGGACAATGTATACTTATATTTAGTTTATCCTCTAAACATTTATAGAGATGCTGCAATAGGTTGTAGAAAATAACCGGAAAAAGCTTAGGTATAATAACTAGATAGGAAAGTCATGTGTTGGACACATCAGATTTTTTATCACAAAAAATACAACTTTAAACGACAATATTTTGAGAAATTGTTTTTTAAAAATGTTTTGACTTTAATGTCATTTTAGTTTAAGACTTCTTAGTCAATTTCATTTGAGGTTAGCCAAATGATGTCAGAAACCGACGTTATAATAGGTTCTTTCGTTCGCTGTTGGTGCAGTGTCCACCAGTGTAAATTACACCAGTTACACCACCTTATTTACCTTAGTTTACTTCCCTCCTTATTCCTTATACACATTTCGAGTGTAATTCACTCCTGCTAAATAGCTGGTGGAGAAAATATCCACCAGTGGACACCACATCGCCAACAGGAAGGTTTAGTGGATTTTACACCGGGCCGAACGAAGTTTCGTAATATTTATACGTTACAAATGTCAATGTAACATTTTTTTGAAATATTTCCGAAATGTTTTTGTGCTCTATATGAGTATAGCGCCACGGAAAATAATAATACTAGCCGTCCCTTTCCCCGCACAAGTTCAGCTTTTGGGGTTAAAATTCACTCGTAAGGGGGTGAATTAGGAAGAGTATTATTACTATAGTCGGTTCCCTATTCCATTCCTCAGGCACGCCTATGATATGTTTATAATAAGTATATAAATGTTTTACTTGGATACTGTTTTATTTTTCCTTTTTTTAAATTATTCCAATTAAAATAAAATAATACTTCTCATTTTTTAAAAATGATAAAATGGATCCTTACAATTTACCAATAAAAAAAAAGTGTACGTAGCGACATCTATTAGCTAGTAAACGAAATATAATTACGCGCCGTAGGCGACATCTCTTAGTCAAAAATCAATTTGCGTTAGTGCATCTATATCTAGTTTAGAATGTGAATAATAGATGTCACGGTAATGTGTTTTTTTTTATACAGTGACTTTATCTAAAATCTTTATTTTTAAAAAGTCTGTTTTATTTTATTCAACATCAATAATAAAATGATAATAATTATATTTTTACTAACTGGTTCTAACAGTTTTCTACTGCTTGCTTTCATAATTTAGCGATTTTCAATATATGTGATATGTATGCGACATCTATTGATTAGTAATAGAACTGTGAGTGAAATTACAGTTTTTACGAGGTGGTTTCCAGAAATGTTTAAAATATTCTCAATAGATGGAAATGTAATTGAAGTTGTCAGAGCTGTCAGTTGTCATGAAATATCACATTTCACATTTTTGACAGTCGACGTAGCATTACAAACTATTTTTCGAATTAGTCGGCTAGTGTTCAAAAAATTTCGTTAATAAAGCGTATTTAGTGTTTTTTTACTACAAAAGAACCGCAAATATGTTTAGGAATCAATATGACAGTGATGTGACGGTCTGGAGCCCCCAGGGACGTCTCCACCAAGTAGAATATGCCATGGAAGCTGTTAACCTAGGTTCAGCAACAGTAGGTCTCAAAAGTGATAATTATGCCGTTATAATTGCTTTAAAAAGAGCTTCTTCGGAACTCTCGGCGTACCAGAAGAAAATTATCAATATCGACGATCATATCGGTATAACTATATCTGGACTTACAGCCGATGCTAGAATTTTGAGTAGATACATGAGGAACGAATGTTTAAATTATAAGTACTCATTGGATGCTTATATGCCCCTCAACAGGCTGATTAGTATCTTAGGTAAGTTCATATCTTTTGCATACTTATTGGAATCTACATAGTTTAAAAAAAAAGTGAGGTTAGGGTATTATGAAATGATTTACTATTTTTCACTTTGTTAGAAAATTCCTTGTGTTCTAATTGTTTTGTAGATATTAGAAACGTTTAATATAAATAATACTTACATATTTGAAGGGATGCAATTTGTTGAGGTACGGAATGCCTTAGATTCTATTCTAGAACCCATATTCTTTTTGATAATCTAGAACTTTAGGTGACTTAAAGCTAATGTCCACACAACTCTGCAGTGACTAGAATTTGAATTTAACACCTGATACGTTACCATATTTCCATTTTTTGTCAAACTGGGTTCACTACTTTTATTATAACTATCCATCATTGGTGTTATTTTTTTTAAACCAAAATGGATGGTAGAGGTAAGCCAGTACCCATTTTTGTTGTGTCTCACAATGAAATTTTAGACAATGTTGCAGTTAAAGAATATAATATTTATTTTTAACTGCTTCTGTTTTTTATAGGTATATTATTTCCTAGTTTTTATTATAAATTTAATAATTTTTACATTATTTTATGTCGAAACTATTAATAATTTTGTTTTATAAAATAAACATCACTGGCAAATAAATCAAGTGAAGTAAAATGTATTTTTCTTTCCAGTTTTATTTATTTTACAAAATCAGTACCATTACAATATAATACAGTTTAAATATAACATTACACAGTTAAAAATAATAATAATAGAATCAAGGCTAAAACATATACTTGACAATATAGGTTTAATATCCAGAGATAGAGAAAATTATTCAACATTATATATATATATATATATGAGTATTTTATGTAAATTTACTCTAACTTAATTCATTAAAAGTTACAGTACCTATATAATTTCTTTATTGAATAATAAGAAATGTTCTACATAAATTAAATCCTGATTTTTTAAAAATAAATAGGTAAACTGGTATTAAAATGAACAGACAATTATTTAGTTTCTTAAATGTTTTTAAGCCTTTTTTTTATAAATAATCTTGAAAAAAAAAAACTAATGACTATTGTTTGAAGTGTAATTACTTTTTTTTGTGAATGTAATTATTGCCATATCCTTTGAGTAAGATATTCAGCTGTCACATCAATCTGACACTGTTTATCAGTATCTCTAGCATTTATATGGGATATTTCTAAAACTTGTAAATTCATTAGGAATTGTCTACAAAATAAAAAAAATATTAACCAAACATAAAACTTATGAAATTGTCATATTTCTGAAATATCTTCTCCTACTAATTTTCTCCTTTTTTCTAATATTTCTTGACCACAATCTGAAATCTTGATCACATCTTTGATAACTCAGTTTGCTATTTCTTATATTTCAAGAATTAATTATAACCTGGCAAGTATGTATTTCATGATTCTAATCTTTCTAGGTGGAGTGGTGAGAACATGCACAAACTTTAAGCTTACCTAGTAAATCTTAAAAGTTATACATTGCATTTTTTTAATAGTAACAATATCTTAATTTCCTTCTAGGTAATAAAATGCAACATTGCACCCAACGGTACGACCGTAGACCATTCGGCGTCGGCCTACTCGTCGCAGGTTTCGATGATACTGGTGCTCACATTTACCAAACCTGTCCCTCAGCTAACTTCTACAACTGCAAAGCCATGTCTATCGGGGCTAGATCTCAAAGTGCTAGGACTTACTTGGAGAAGAAGCTCGATGAATTATCTTCAGCCTCTTTGGAAGAGTTGATTAAACATGGTTTGAGGGCTTTGAGGGATACTTTACCTCCAGAGGTAAGACATTTTGTTTTTTTTTATGGAATAGTGTACCAGAAGCATCATCTTCAATTTTATCTTTTTTTTTAGGTAGACCTAACCACCAAAAACGTCTCAATAGGCTATGTAGGCAAAGGTCAAAACTTCAAGATCTTAGAAGAGGAAGAAACTGCTCCCTACCTCTCGCTCATTGAAGGTGAAGAACGTCGCGGCGGTGGAGGCGGAGGCATCGCTGACGCTCCTGCAGATCCGTTGAGAGAGGGGGAAGCGGGGGACGACGGTCCCAGAGACCCAATCCCAGCGGTCGCCATGGATACGACGGAGTAAAAGCAGATGGTTTGCCAAAGGGGGTTTTCGAGTGGCATCTGGGGGGATTGGAGTGCTTGGGGTGGAGACTTATCAAAGGAAAATTGCCGTGGCTGTTTTGATTTGATTTTTCTTTTTTAAATCCCGAATTGAAACAGCCACGGCGGATTTTGTGAATTGCGTAAATATTTTATTGAATTTTTAATGATTATAAGGTTTTTTTAATTAATAAATTTGCTACTGCTTGATATTTTTTAGTTTTATTTTTAAAAATCAAACACTGACTAAAGTAAAAATTACTGTACCATACCTTTGCTACATTTACAAATGGTTATAAAATTATTAAATACAGAAATATGAACCTATTAATATGGACACATCCAGTATAAAAAAAATTGCTTGATACTTTTAATTCTATTTTATTCACTTTATCTATTTGATTTCCATGTTCTAAGGTAATTTTAAAATTCTTAATTTCCCCCCGCCCCTCACCTAAATTTTATTATTCTTTCTCCTTCTCACTCTTTCCTTTTCTGTCTATCTTCTATTTTTTATTGTTCTCACAAATTCTTCCCTATATTTTACTTTCGTTTCCATTTGTTCTTACATTTTCCACATTTTGTTTAATACTAATTTTATTTTTTAGTCCTTTATATTTATTTTGCTTCCCATTTTCCTCGATCTTATTTTAATTCCTTTCCACTTATGTACCTTTTGTTTCCCACCTTAAATTTCTTCCTAATTGGCTTTATTTTTTCCTCGATCTCTTTTTTAATTGTTCAATTTTCATCTAACCTTTATTTTATTTATTATTACCTACCTATTTCTTTTTGATTTTCAATCTTTATTTTCAATTGATAGTTTTATCTCTTCTAATTTTATCATTATTTCCTTTAGATGTATCTTTATTTGTTATTTGCTTCTATTCTTTTTAACTTTCTACATCCATTCGTATTTATATCTCTTCTTTGCTTTTATTTATGCACTCAATATCTATTTCTATACTTTCTTCTATTTTCTTATTCGTCTTGTTTTACCTCTCGACTTTCTTTTTTTATTTTCTGTTTCTTCACTGTTATTATCATTAATTTATCTCACTAATTCTTACACTTTTCTTTCTTTCCTCTCTAACCCCTTTTTTATGTATTGTATAATATTCTTTTAAATTTCGTCCATTTTGTTCATTATCTGTTCTCTACCTTTATTCCTTCCTCTTCATTTCTTTCATATTTGTTATCTTTATCTCTTAATTTATTCCTTATCTTGTCTATCTTCTTTTTTTCCTTCGCTTGTTATGTTTCTCTCTTCATTTCGAGCAGCAGCATAATTATTTTATATTTTTCTTCAATTATTTTCTCCTCCTGTTCCTTTTTTTTTTCAGCTCATACATGTTTGTCTACTAAATGTTATAAAAGCCTTTAACAGCGTTATTAGCGTTTTTATTTATTTCTGCATCGTCCACTTCTACTTTTGATATCTAAAAAATGTACATTTGACATCAGTACATCATTCATATCTAAGATTAACAGTAACTAGACTAGACAACAATAACTAGACCTCAACAAAGATGAAAAAGCATTACTGAAACTAACAACAATAAATAATATTGCAAAATTATTAGTTATAAATAAAATACAATTATATTTGTTCGTAAATATAATTTATGTTGTGCTCCGTGAACATTAGTATCATAACCTGTCAAATGATTGACCAATCATCTAATGGCAAGATCTTGATGTTGTTTACATGTTGATATTAAAACGTACTTTATCTAGCTCTTACAATGGTCAAACGCGTACCTCACGTTCCAACTACCTCTGGTGGATTTTTTGGAACTACGTTGTGTTTGATGTGGTTTGGTGCCATATCGTCTTTTGTTTTATATGGGATTTGAGAGAAGTTGAAACACCTATAATCATTCACCGAATAAGCAATGTTTGCTCTTTTGACTCCGCTTTCTAAGTATGAGTTCCATATTAACTTGCTGTCATACCATACTAGGAATGTTTGCAGGAAATTTATTACGAATGTCCAGGATAACTCAAAATCACAAAGACCAAGATGAGGGAAAACAAAAGTCGAACCCAATTAATTATGAAGAGACTATCGGTTTTTATTTTTAATTCATTTAACATTCGGAGAACTATTCAAATATTGTTAAACGTATTTTTTCTTATCCAAATACTGTTAAATAGCAATTCTTCAACAGAAGATTAAAAATATTCTAATATTGTAAAAATTATCATTGGGCTGAAGGACTATTTTTTTTTTAGTTTTACACGCTTCCGATCAACCGTGCTATTACACTAATCCGTCTGTAGCCTGCGGCTTATTGTACCACCATTTGAGGGTCTTACTACTTTCCTTTTCACCTCGCTTTATTCACCGTAATTCATTCCACGTCGTCGATGGTTATATAAACGCTAGTCCCATGGTGGAACGTCCCAGCGATCACCCATCCACGACGTTACCGGAGATATTACACTTAACTGTTGCGAGAATATGAATGCACACTAATCTTGCAGCTAGTAGCCTCTCCGGTATAGTAACTCAATAAAGAACGTTTATTTTTATTATTATTATTTTAAAAATCACCAAAATACACCCTATATCTTTTTACACTACGCAATTACAAATTTGTGAAAGTACAGATGCAGGTATGCTTGTGGTTGCGTTGGGATCACTTCGTTTAGTTGCAGTGGCCTCGCCTTCACAAGGCGATCCATCTGGACAAGGTCCGTCCGGTTGTTCTCCAGATTCTAAACCTTTCACCTCTCCAACTTTATCGCCTATTGCGCACGCGAACTCATGAATAGCGCGCACGTACTTATCGCAGTATTTATCTGGGGCTACTTCCTTCAACCAACAGCACATCACGCTTTCTAAAGTACCTGGAGCTGGAGGCGGGCCGTTCTTCTTAATTTCCTGATCTAATTCGCTCAATTTGTCGAGAATGTTTAGGTATTTGATCCAAGGCATGTTGGACACTTTGGTACATAGTTTAGCTTGCGTAGAAGTCTTGTAAATCTCGACGAGTTCCGGTAGGAATACCCATTTGCACGGATCTTCTTTGTAGACCATTCCGATTTTTGTTTAAAGGTTTTGTGGGGGTACAAATACTTGAAATTTTGACTTGGTTGAGATAAATGGGTTGTATTTTGACAGGTTTCTGACAATTGATAGTAATTATGGCGGTGGTGTATTTGACCGTGGGTGGCTCATCTCAATACTTCCACCACAGAATATATGCTCGAAGAGAATAGATGGCAACACAAAAAGGAAAGTACTTGTGTACCCTTTTTATTTATCTTTGTATGTTTCTACCAGTATCAATATACCTTTCCCGTTATTGATGATCTCTTTTACTGTTGCGCAAATTCTACTTATAAATTCTATTTCCGCTTAAAATCATCAACATTTATTGTTCTTATGTTTCCTACCCTGAGTTACAATTACATTATATCCGCAACCTTCTTTATTGTTCGAAGCAGAGATGTATTTGTATGTTTTAATGACTAGTATTTCATGTTGTGAATCGAGTCTATAGTTATTGTAGTCTGTGAAATGTGATAATACTGGTGACTTAACCACTGGTTATGGAGTACACTCCATACTACTGGTATTAAAAACTGTCAATTCCAAAAGGACAATTAACAGATTGTATCATGAACCTGTCAAATCATATTTATTTGATCCAGTTGTCAACAACATCAAAATTATCAGCGTTCAACTCGTTTTCCATTTTCACATTATTTCTGTGTGCAATCATTCATCCATTCTGGATGTTCAGCGTTACCCTGTTACCTATCTATAACTGATCATAAATGGGCAAAAAAGAACACGAAGAAGACGGCGACGATGACGACGAATGGCAATTTTTACCCATCCTAATTAAGACGTACGAGAAGTTGACACCGGCGAAAATGTTGTCCAGCAGGGTTCCAAATATGCCCGATTACAGCTATTCGAGTATCCTTGATGCTATGAAGGAGTTGTACGAAGACGTACAGTCTTTGGGCTACGCCAAGCCGTCACTATTGGAGCAAGTTATGCTGGTTTGGCTCATGGATGTCGCTCCGGAAAAGGTGACCGATAACAACGTCAAAGCAATTCACGAATTCGCTTGTGCAGTCGGCGACAAAGTGAAGGAGAAAGCCAGGTATCCTCCAGAAACTGCCATTGCTTTGGTTAGAATTGACAGCTTACTAGGGAGGGTGTCAGAGATAATAGGTCGTATTAAAAAGCAGTCTTCTGGTAGTAGAAATAGAAGGACTTCTTCTAGACAGAATAAAATTCCTTCCATCGGACCTTCTCCAAGGTTTGCCATTGTTGCTTATTGAATTATTTGCCTTACAGTCAAGCATTTCTCCATTGGCGTACTATCCCAGTTTTGCCATTTATTGCATTTTTATAGTGTACCTATATAAAATAAAAGAAAAAACTAAAATACTGTTAATCAAGTATATAAAATTTTTTATTACTAACAACCATTTGCGACGTAGACATATCTTTACAGTCAAACTAACGACAATCTAACAGAAATAACTTTTTGACATTTTCTGACCATTGTGACGTATGACAAATAACGTTTTTGACAAAAAACGAACACATTTGACGAAAGCTGACGTCGTCTTGATTAACTGTCTCACTTCTCACTCAGGTAGTATGTCAATTTATATTTGCATAAATGTTATACTGTAAGGAATAATTTCTAAACGACAGCAATAACTTGTCAAGAAGTTTCGCAATTGTCTTTTGCGATTTTAGAAAATGTGTTGTTTTATTTTTCGCCAGTGAACCATTTAGGCATTTTAACCATGTTCACTTTAAACATAATATATAACTGTATTGTAAACAATAAAGTAAAAATTACATATGATTTAATAGTTTTATTACCATTAAATATTTTTATACATATAAGTTGATAATTTTTTTAACTGGGTAAAGAAGTCTACTTAAAAATAAAGACGTATTAGAAAATCTAAATCCGGACTTGGACTTGTGTATTAAAAGTTAAGTCTGTTTTTATCCTTTTTTTTTCTGTTTTTCTTATGAACCACTAGTTACTGTGTACTGGTATTCAATTGTATCTAGGTTTAGTAGTATTTTGTGTTTATTTGAAGTACCTAGTGACATTTTAAATTTTAAGTTGTTTTGTCAATGGTTTTTACAACGGCAAGAATGTGATTAACATTTATAGAACTTACACATTATGTAAACGTACATGAACGTATTGGATACTTTTTGGAATACATTTTTAAGTTTTTTATCATTTTTTTTGAAAAACCTTTCATTTAATGACTTCTATACACACAAAAAGTATCAAGTACACAGAAGGAGTGAAGGGACCATTTACTTTTACATGATCAGACTTGAAACAAATGGCGACATGTGAATGGTTTGCCGTGGAGCTTCAGTCCAGATAATGTAAGAACCACCAATTCAGCGTACCTCAAATTTTTATTTAAATTCATAAATAAAAAATACCGGGAGAGAAAAACAAGAGAGAAGATTTTTATACTTTTTTGAACAACTATTTATTATTTAGTTTACATGCCGAGGTGGGGGCAGTCAAATCATGTGATCTGCAGGTCGATCCAAAACGTTCTGAAAAAGGTTCATTCAAAGGCTTTAATTTTGCAAAAAACTTTATTGGAAAAAATTTGTTCGCTACATTTTTAGTCTTATATAATTCAGAAACGTATCTTCTATCCGATCTATATACAATATTTTAATCTTTTTTTCATAAACCAACATTTTAACTATTCAATAATTCATTCCTTGCCAATTAACTCCTGACATTTGCTTTCGAATATTTTTTCGCCTTGGGTAATGTAACCATCGGCAATTGAAATTACTTGAGCTTCAATGTTCCTTCCGATGTCTTGAGATAGATCGCCTTTCTTTTTAACCTGTTTTACGTATTTTATTTGAACGTCTCTTATGCCGTCTTTACATTTCACAAAAAGCTGCTTGGCGTTTTTGGTCAAGCTCTCTCTGTGTTCTTTAGTCACCCTAAAAAAATGCGACTATACTAAAATGAAGTGGATCTAAAAAATATGTTATGAACATTTTTCTTTATCTACATACATCAAATTAACATCCTGTATATTAAAACATTTGAGATATACACACTAACACATTAGATATAATTATTATCATCACCTTTATAAAAAATGTTGAATGCAAAATCACTAGAGGTACTACATCTCTAATTAGTGATTAGTGAAAAATTTGCATAATTTGTAAGGAAACAACAAAATGTTCTCACCTTGCGTGGTATTTTTGTTTATGAAATATAAAAGTCAAAAAATGATGTGCACCAATCACTGTTTTCAGATATAGTTTGTTTTGATTGGCATGTGTTGGAATAAAAGGATTGTATATAGTGTTAAATAATCATTGCAATTAGGCCTAGTTCGATAATAAAAATATCATAGATTAATAGGTAACCTTCTATATCTAGCTACTTCCATAAGACCAGATTTTTTCAGCACATTTATGAGTCAACTTAATAATAATCCAGATCAGCATCACTGGAAAAATTATGAACAAATATACAGAGAAAAGTTTTTTCTGATGTAGATTGGGGCAGGTGAGACAGACAGGAAATGTTTTGGTGGAAATGTTTGTCCTGGCAGTAGGGGCAATTACTTGGTCTAACAAAATACAAAATTGCATAGCACTAAACACTGTAGAATCAGAATTTGTATTTATAAATGAAACAATAAATGAACTAACGTTTTTAGTAAAGTTATCCAAAGAAATTGTCATAAAAACTATTTTGAGAATGTCTGAACTTGTAGATAACCAAGGAGCAATTGAATTTAAAAAAATAAAATGACATCACATAAGATAAAGTATGCATTAAAGATGCTCTATATTGAAACAGTTAAATTTTGCTGATCAGCTAGCTAAATCAGTTTTACCAACTATTCTAAAAGAATAGTCGAAGATGTTGATCCAGGGGCATATCAGAAAGAAAATAATTTTTGAATCAGAGTTGTGGAGGATATTGGATATTGTGTGTGGATTTGGATTTTATGACTGTTATTCTCGGACTGTGGATATAATTCATTATTAGCCTATTGTGTATTTTTCTTTTTGCTTTTTGATCTAATTTATGAACGAGAGAATCATATAATATGTTAATATGTTGTTTCAATTTTTTTTTTTTTTTTTCAGGAAATAACTTGTTGGACACATTTCGCTTAGGGGTCAGTTAAAGCAATTTAAGAAGGTAAACAACAAGACGACCTCGGCTAGAAAGACCACAAATGGGAAAGAAACAGAGGACTCATATATATTCAAATCTTGAGAAGGTAAATAATTCTTTCTTGTAAATTAAATTGTCTTGTATTCTTTAAAATACTCTTTACTTTTATTGATAAATTTAAACTATCTGCTATCTTTTAACAAGTTCTTCTGATTAAAAAATATACTGTGCCTTTTTTCTTGCTAATTTCTATAAATTCTGTTATCTTAAATTTAATTACTTATTAACATATTTTTCGTGCCATGTCTTTCATATATGAAAGACAGTGATATTTCTGCAGAAGCCACAGTGTATTTTAAATGGGGAATCTCAACAGTGGAAAAAATGGAAAAAAGTTTTCTGGCGGAAGGTACACAAACTATGTGTTTTCATTAATAACATATAACAGTGTATTTTAAATGGGGAATTTCAACAGTGGAAAAAAATGGAAAGATAAAAGTTTTCTGGTGGAAGGTACACAAACTATGTGTTTTCATTAATAACATATTTATTTCTTACTTATTATGATCATATAACTAACACTTATGGCTACATAAAAAAAGTAAAAAAAAGTTTACCTACCTACTTGTTTCTTATTGAAACATAACAAACATACTTATGGTTGCTTAACACACATCTTGTAGTAGATATAAACCATTTTGACACAATTTTGTACTGAAATAAACTATTTTTAGTATTTTTTTTTGTTTTATTCCTTTGTTTGTTATTATATTTGGTTTTTTGATGTCTTTAATATTTAAAAGATGGCTTGGGTAGAAAAAATACACTATATTTCCTGCATGGTCACATCTTTCATATGAAAGACACCAAAAAAAATCAAATATAACAAAAAAAGGAGTAAAACACAAAAAAGGTTAAGCATGGTTAATTTCAGTACAATATATATACAAATCATGTAAATAACAGTTTGGCCCACAGCAGTGATTATCCAATTATACCTTGGCATGTAATGTGTTAAAAGTACTTACTTTTTCATCCACTACTAACAAACCGAATACAAGCCATTATTGTGTAATATGTACAACTATCTACTTAAATAATTTTTTTTTTAATAATTTAAAAGACTTACTTGGGTATCGGTACATACAAAGTAGTCCCATCTTGTTGTGGATTTAAGTTCATTCCTGACTTCTCCATTGCTTTTAAAGCAGCAGGTATGGCCTGCGGGAACAAAGCCATATTTATGACAATCGTTTTGGTGTTTTTTCTAACAATTTGAGCCAATTCTTGTAAAGTATGCTCTTTGCCATCTAACGATACGGGAATCGTTTCAATTGAACCTGCAAAAATATCATTCATACTGCTCTGTCTCATTATATGTATTTACACTGAAGAGACTAAAATAATGATCTTAATATATACCTGTAGTGGACCTAAGTGATAAATGTTTAATAAAATCATCCTTTAATTGTTCTATAACGCGCTCCATCTGCTTTTTCATAGAATCAATGTTGATATACTCGGTGAGTTGGGTTTCGTTAACTACAACTTTTGTTTTACCTACGAATATTCCAGCTCAGTAAATATTATTCACAATAGGTATCCTATAGTTACCCTTTTCTTTTTTCTTATCCTTCCCTTTTGCATAAGTTCTAAATTGAGAAAAAATTGGAGGATTTGTAAGGTTAAGTCGTTCATTGTTGGATAAATTTTTATTTACAGTAAGGGAAGCTAGAGAAAATGATTTTTTAGGTAATGAACTATATGCAGATTTACTGGAAGTAATTGAAACACCTCTTAAAGTTCTTAGAACAAACATTTTAATTATTTTTTCGGTTTCATATATTTTTTAAATATTCTAACCTCATTTTTTTAACTTATGACAGATCTGTCATTATTGTAAAGTTCGACTCTAGTGCTATACCGGTCTAGAGCTATGGACTTACGTACGTTGCCAGTTCTCAAAGAATAATAATCTGCTTTTTATTTCAAAAGTATCGTTCTTTAATGGTTCTCCAAGAAGCTATAGATCCAAATGTTCCTGCTTAACTATTTTAACAGTTTAATGCTAAAGTTATTTTTAGTAATAAATAATAAAATATAATTTGAATTCTTTTTTATTATAAATATTAGAGAGGCCTACCTATAATAAATACGGTATTCGACATTTTGATTTCTGGCCTTGTGTTCTAGGTATATTAGTTTTGTTAGTATAATTGTTTTATCATGAACAGCACTGTGAACACTATAATCAGAGCACTGCGGGAATGGTTTTATGAGGCTTGCGAATTCTAACCAGCAATAGAATTGACTATAATTTTTTGCCCTTATATTATTTTGTCTTAACTACACCAAAAAAGTAGGAAAGCAGCTTTTCTTGTAAAATTTCAAGTCTGGCAACATCTAAGCAACACTTTGTAACTTCGTGTATGTTCGATGGTCCTAGTTCCTAACCGATTGATGAGTATTAATGAGTAAAAATAATTATTTCTAAATTAGATTGAATTAAAAATTAAAGGCATAATTCAATTAATAATAAATATATTTTTTAAAATATATTAAATTCAGAAATACGCTATGTAGCAGCCGAGATCACGTTTACCAAATATAGACAACCGAATATACACGTGTAATGCATGTTGCATACACAGAAGGGTATAAATATGTTCAATACGTTTCTTATATAAAAATAGTTAATAAAAACCCCCATTCCCAAGCTTATTTTTTTATAAACCTGTTATTGCTGTTTCCGTGAAGAATACAAGAGAGCGTACTTTTATTGTTTGTGTTTGGAACTACATAATGAATTTTTCTCGTTAAAAAATTCGAGGCACTATAACGGGCATGTAACTTAATTTTTAATAAATCTGGACTGACCCATATTACGTGTACAGCAATATATTTTAATAAAACCTAGAGGAATAAAGCAAACTTGAACTCTGACCTCCATACTTGAATTATAAAAGTTTTTCTCATAACGTTAATCCGTAGGGAAGCAATGCATCAAGAATTAAAGTCATAAAACAGATTTAATAGTAGGTAACTTTCAACAAACAGTAATTTAAATATTCAGCAATAAATCATTGGCTTCGAGTTATATATAAGTTTGTGAGTTTAAAGTTAAATTTTCCCTTACAAATTATTACTCGTAACTCTTGATAGCACATATTGCGAAGTAATCACTAGGTTTACATCAGGAATTGACAACCGTAGTCATTAATTTGTTTTAATTTTACGTATGAGCATAAATAAATTCTAGTGTTTGATTTATTCTTAAAAACGGCATAATTTAGCAAGAAAACTTTTCATAAAGGATTGTTTTTAAAGGCCACACTCCACCTCAGTTAATTTACATAAAGAATAAAAGTTTTACATTATAAAGATATCGTGCGCCAGGCACTCTAAGCGTATCAGCCATTTTACATCACATTTTTGGATAACCTAAGTATCCTACTTTCTTTAAAACTTTATTACTTTACTGATATTTTCTGTATTTATAACGGTGTCCTAAAGTATACTTTAAAATAAGAATTATTTACCGTAATTAGTTTCAAACCAATTTAAATTTCAGTTAATCCATTTACCCAACAAACATTTTGGTCTCTCTAAATAATGGCCCGATAAATGTCTGCTTAAATAAAACACCCTGTAATGCACTAAGGAGCAATCTTTTGTCTAAGTGGTTTGGGTTAAATTTTCATATTTTGAGCTTAAAATTTTCCAGTTACAATATTTACATAATACTAATAATAATAATAAAAAAGCACCTCATAAGAATTAGGCATTCCAACGACCTGCCAGTGGGAAGTTCTCGTAAATCTAAGGGGGTAGCGACATAGTCTTGCATCTTAGACGCTATTTTTATTCGAAATAGTAGTCGCCAAGCCGGCCAATTTATGCAGAAATTTATAAGCGGGGTTTTTAAATATTATTTTTATTGTGTTTGACATAAAATATTTAAACGTTATCCATTATTTATGATTTTACGCATAGTACAGAGAACACATCGTATGTCGCAACCCTTAGATATACTACACCCTCCCACTGGCAATTCATTTGTTTCCAAACAAAATTAGGCATAACAATGCCTAATTTTGCTGAGATTTAATCAAAACACTCACTTTAAAGAAAGAATCATAAACACCTTTTATAAGTACCAACAAACTGACATTTATAAATACTTTTCTTCTTCTGTACTGTACTAATAATAATGTTTATTTGAAAATATAAAAGATACATATTAAAAAATACAAAGCACAAATAAACAAGAAACAAAAACCACGAAGCAGGTCAAGCCTACTTGTGAGTGGTCATTCTTAAATAAATATAGTAAAATAAATTGTATAAAAATATTTTTAAGACAAAAAAAATTATTTAGACAATATATATTTTTTTTACATTTTTATTGTTCAATAATATCATGAACAACATCCCGTGGCATATTAAGAACATATTTTATTTTTTGTTTAAATACAAATAGCCTGGTTTCCACCTTAATATCGGGAGGTAACAAGTTATAAATTTTTGGACCTAAATATAAATAATGTCTTTGTCCGATTGCCTTTTGCATGTAAGGGGTAATGTACGCGCCTTTATTTCGAGTAGCATATTTATGACATAGAGTTTGCAATTCTGTTTTATGTTTATATGTAACCATTGCAGTGTTTATAAAATATAATTGATCTTGTATTTATGAATATGCAGGCTACACTTACAAAAATTATTTCAAAAAGGTTATAAACGGTTTAAAAATTCACTTTTAACAAAAAGAGCAACACAATAATTTACCGTGTACACATACCATGGCTGTTTAATGAGTGTCCATGATAAATGAAGGGATGAGATAAAAAACACCAACAAACCTAAAAAGAAAAAGACCCGCGAAGCGTTTATAATTGAGCAATGAATATTGATAAGTTGATTGTTGGAAACGAAGATTATTTATCATTTGGTGTCGTCGAGGATATAAATTAAGTATATTCTAAAATATACATTATACCTATACAACCTGCATCTCAACGCTGTAATAATAAAAAAGTTACTTGCAAATGAGAGACCGTGACGTGCCGAGCTTTACACTTTTTTTAACAGTTTTTAACTCTTTAATTAATGTTTTCATATAGGTACACGAGATTTACAGGAAATTTATAATGATGCTTGTTAAATGACTAAGTTTATAAAAAAACGACTCAATAAATTATAAGTATAGGTACACTCTGAAAAAGGTTTTCTTATATCAAACAAACTTGGAAAAAGTTTCATATTAAACAATATGCATTTGGTTGGAAAAATAAAACTTCCTTGGTATATATAATTTTTATTTTCCATCTTCCGGAGCAGTCAAAATTAATTTTTAAAAATATTAAGCGTTATAACAATAAATATAAATTTTTTTTTAGAAATTTGACGAAATCATATCTTCCGTTTCTCACGATGTAGGTTTTATTTAACTAATACAATACTTATTTAATGTGGGACTCCTCCTCGAGGATTTGTTTTGCGGCCTTACTCATTTTTTTTTATTTAATTAAAAATAATCCAAGAGTTATTGGGTGCTCTTATGGAATTAATTATAGGTAAAATAAACATTTCAAATAAATTAAGGGCATCGCTACCTCACCATTTAAACTAATAGATAGATATTGCAAATGTCTCTAGCTTCAACCACTAATTAGTGCCAACGTAATTTGAGGCAAATAAATTCCATGCTAAAATAAAACTTATTGCAAACTATGATTTGTTTGAGATTAGAGTCCTTCTTCTTATACATATTCCTAATTTCATTTTAAAAACTTTAAATCATAGTTCATCTTTGTTGTGGTACATAATATAGAAGGGGCATTAGAAATGGCCATTTTTAGGAGACTTAGATGATAAAAAATATTTATTATTAGAAAACTTCGAACTGATACGAATCTCGGCGACCGCACCCGAAAGCTAATAAAGTCGGCACTATTTGCTGCTGTTATGCATCCACAATTAAGGGCGGGTACTATCTTTAATAAAGTCAGTTCAAGAATTTGAACGATCTGCGCATGTTCAGATGTCAAAATAAGAGCAACGTTAATAGTGGGTGATCCTAAACTTGCAATATCTCACTACTATTTCCTTCAAAAGGAACTTTCTCAATTAACTTAAAAAATTACATTGATAACTTACATTTTTAAAAAACAAAAAACACATTTCCCATTGTATAAGTAATTTCTCGAATTAACAGTCATATTATTATTATCATCTATAGAATAAATTGAAATCAATTAAATAGAATCCTAATTAATCGCGATAAACTTTTTTGATTTTTGCATATTGTATCTGCATTTATGCATTTTTCAACAGATAATTTTATTGACAGAGCAGCACCAAATGCTTCACGCTCAAATAGGGTCAAGCAATGGGAAAAATGATGGTTTAGTAGGGCATCGCAAATTGTTTATGACAGTTCGCGGTTTCATCTATAAATCGAATTAGATATGCAGTTTTTAGATTAAATTAACTTCCAATGGGACTAAAAATTAATGCTAAAACTTTTTTTTTTTTTTCATTCAACAATCTTTGAAAAGTACAAAATACACACCGATTAGGTAGATATCCTTATAATGATAGATCAATATCACACTCAAAAGCGGTTTACACGAATTTATTCATGAAGTAATTGAATATATATTTATGAATTTCTTTACGTTTTACATTTATAAGTAAATTTATTAGGTTTTGTGTCGTATATGTTAGTGTACCCACTTAAAAAATACTGCAAATAAGCAGGGCTGCCGAGGGCCATGGTGGGTCCCGGAGCAAAGCACTGGAAACCACCCCTCCCATATATTGTAATCTATTTTTTTTTAAAGAAATGAATCGAGGGTATTTTTTTTAAGCTGCCGGTCTCCCTGTCCCTCCCTCTCGTGGGGCCTGCAAATAAGT